TATAAAATATTAAAAATAATTAATTACAGGAAAAATCTATAATAAGAATGAACATGATAAAGATAGAGGTGGATTAAATTTTACTTTAAAATAAATAAATCGAATTATATATATATATATATATATATATATATATATATATATATATATATATATATATATCACAATTTGAGTTATATATATTGCGTGTTACATTTCTCTTTGACTTGGTTTATTTTGGTCAATCTAAATTATGTGCATGCTGGCATTGACTTGAAATGAATGTCCATGAAAAGATGTGGTTGACTTAATTATAAGGACTCCTAAAACGTGGTGGTTCAGCTTAAGTTCCTTATCTTATATCGATTAAATTTTATTATGATTCGATTCAAATCTAAATTAGACCAGTCTAACAATCAAAATGACACGAAGTCAATGATTTGATGGTTCTGAATCAAACTAGAGCGGTGGTTTAGTTTTGAACCGACAAAAAAATAAAAATAAAAAACATAAATATACCCTTTAATAAATAAATAATTAAAGGAATATTTTGAAACAAAAAAAAAAGAAAGAAAACTAAAATAGGTGGATCTACAAAAATGAAACTGGAATCGATTGGGTTCTGATTCTAATTACTATGGCAAATCTGATGCTCGTGATGTGGCTGATGAAGCCTCGGTCAAAGCCCACTGGACTCCTAGGCTTTGACTTTGTACACAGGAAGAAGGAAAGAAGCAGTGGTCACACTGTCGGCCTTTGCAATCCAATAAACCCTATAATAGCTCATCTTACTCCTCTTTTGTGATATGGAGGAACATTGTCGACTGCATGAGAAAGCATCATATGTCGATGAACAAGTCAAACCATTTATTATGTTAGAAAGAAGAAGAAACAAAAATATTATTTAAGACGTCACCATGCAGAGCGACTGAGGAGTCAATAGCTCATCTTACTCCTCTTATGTGATTTGGAGGAATATTGTCGACTGCACGAGAAAGCATCATATGTCGATCAACAAGTCAAAGCATTTATTACGTTAGAAAGAAAAAAAAACAAAAAGATTATTTAAGACGTCACCATGCAAAGCGAATGAGAAGTCAATAGCTATCTCACTCCTCTTATGTGATATCGAGTATTGTCAACTGCATGAGAAAGCATCATATGTCGATCAACAAGTCAAAGCATCGATTGCATTAGAAAGAAAAAGAAACAACAAGATGATTTAAGACGCCACCATGCAAAGTGAATGAGAAGTCGCTAGGAGGATTTGGATCTCTCCCTTAGTTGTTGTTGCCGTCGTCGTCACGTCGCCGCTTTCTCCCATGTCTACGGTGGGAAAAGCTTCAAACGAAGACGATGGACTTCGTGACTCGATTTTAAGTCGATTCCCTTTCGGCCTTTCATTTATTTATGCAATCTTTAAATTTCTCATTTGAATATGTTTTTTTTTTTTTCGATTGATTGAAACTTGAAAATTTTCATTTGAATATTTACTATTATAAATAAAATAAAACTCTACAATTATTCATGGATTGGGAGATTGCATGTTTCATTGTTCTTATTATGATAATTGATCTGATTAAAATATCTTTTTTTTTTTTGTCGTTGGAGTTCGATACTTGTGTTCTCGAGATATTAGAGTGTTTTCTGACTTTATAGCACACTCGATGATGGTATAAATGATAAAAGAAATATAATATGATTATGGGTAAGTGATAAAGGCAAATTCGATTTCAAAATTTCAAAATAATTTATCAAAATAATTATTAGCTAAAATAGTTGACACATTTAAAACTAAAAAAATTGTAAATATCATTATAGTTGTCTTTTATCATCATAACCTTAACTCCTTT